CATCTCGTCTTCTGTCATTCCCTTCTCCTTGTGCCCTCAATCTTTCCCAACATCAGGGTCTTTTCCAGGGAGTCTTCTCTTCTCATGAGGTGGCCAAAGTATTGGAGCCTCAGCTTCAGGATCTGTCCTTCCAGTGAGCACTCTGGGCTGATTTCCTTAAGAATGGATACGTTTGATCTTCTTGCAGTCCATGGGACTCTCAAGAGTCTTCTTCAGCACCATAATTCAAGAGCATCAATTCTTTGGTGATCAGCCTTCTTTAGAAGTGGCCAAATTCTGTGTCGCTGCTAGAAAACCTGGGAGACAACCTCTGAATGAATCGAATGGCCAATGTCTTAACATGCATATTTTAAATTAGTGGTTAAGATTTTAACCTACATATTTTAATTGTTTTATATCCATTTTATTTACCATGTTCTAGCTCATAGAGTTTAATTTTAACCTATGTATATTTACATGTTCTCTCTCGCTGTATATGTCCATACTTCGGGTCTGTGACGGTAATAAATTGATTCATTCCCACTGGTTTAGACTAGAGGATGTTTCATTACGCAAGTGTCAGCCCACTGCATTTCTCCTGTCACTTTCCTTCTTGCAAAGAGTCTTATCTTTTGGGGAAGAGCATTAGTTTCACTAGCACTCTAGAAAAGCTTTAATGGCAGAGTTTGGATTTATCGGGATGGGTAGGGTTCCAAAATTTCAAAAAGTAAAATTCCAGACACACATTGTTGAGCTTTTCTGGGAAAACCTCCCCAAAACTTTTAGAGCTGTAAATCCCCCCCCCCCCCAGGCCATTTTTACACCCGAAAACCAAGACATGTCAAGTCTGAATCACCTGTTGATTTTCCATCTGCAGCTGTTAAGGGCCTAGTGCCTATAAGAAAATTGTAGCCTTTCCATGTTTTGGAATTTTGTAGAGTACAGTAGATGATAATGATAATAATCATAATCATAATGCCTTAAGAGTTATACAAAGAGGGCCATTTCTGCCAGATATGGCTTCTCTCAGCACTTCTGCAATACAGTGGTACCTTGGCTCTCAAACGCCTTGGTACTCAAACAACTTGGAACTGCAAACCCGGAAGTAAGTGTTCTGGTTGCAAACTTTTTTCAGAAGCTGAATGTGCTCCCTTTTTACGCTGAGGTCTGTCTGTTTTTGCTATTTATTTTGTGTTTTGTGGCTGTGTGTGTGTGTGTGAGAGAGAGAGAGAGAGAGAGAGAGAGAGAGAGAGATTGTTTGAAACCCAGTTCAGCTATTGATTGATTGATTGATTGATTGATTGTGTGACTGCAGTACATTGTTTATTGCTTTCATTTTATGGATCAATGTTCTGGTTAGATAGTAAAATTCATGTTAAATTGCTGTTTTAGAGGTTGTCCAGAACAGATTAATCCATTATGCATTACTTTCTATGGGAAAGCATGCCTTGGTTTTGGAACGCTTTGGTTTTGGAACTGACTTCCGGAACAGATTAAGTTTGAGAGCCAAAGTACCACTATAGTTGAGGAAAAAAGCTGCAATAGCTAATGCTGCTTCTATGCAACACTTAAAGGCACGCAAGTCCTCTCTGAATCAGACAGTGCCAGCTTAAACCCCAGCCAGCAGGGTTGCGGGAGCTCCAGGGTTAAAACCGGCACCTCCCTATTTTTGTGGGGGCCCCACAAATGTCCCCTATAGACAGGTTATTTTCTTTTGCTCTCCCACCTCCCCCAGCCCCAAATTGCAGGCCTAATGGAATGAGACAGCTGATATGGCAGGAGGAATGTAATTAGACCTCAATTAGCCATGCTCGTTCTTCCAGATAATTGGGGAAAAAATCAGACTAGACACCCACGCTAAATTCTGTGCTCCAGCCAGCACTGCTTCTGCCTAAGCTTCTCGGTTTGATACAGTCCATCAGGCTGAATAAACACGGCTCCGGGGACAAGGGTGGCAGAGAGAGAGAGAGAAAAAGAGTAAATATGCACCGATCAAGTTCATTGCCCCCTAAATTGTGCCGGGGGGGGGGGGGAGAAAACCAATAATAGGATTGCAAACTCACCCCCCTTCTCCACTAGCCCTGATTCTTGTCCTTTAACAACAGCCTGACATGTAGAAATTAAGCTGCTGAATCTGTTCAAACAGAGGAATATAACAGGCGTTGTTGGGTCAGGCGTAGGAACAGGGAAGGAATTCAGTTCATTTTGCATTTAAAGGAGGGCCTACATCATTCTCACTTTCTAAAACAACAGGCTAGCTGAAAAGCAGCCATCCTTTTGAGATTTGCATTTCTCTTAAAATTCTGTAATGCTGTTCTCCCAGCCAAGTAATGCGGTACAGTAATTCACACTATACAGAGTAAAGCATGGCTATAAATGCATATACATCTATGAAAACATAACATACAAAGGTGCATCATATTAGGGGGAAATTGCTTTCAAATGTCTACGCTAGGAAAAAATAGCATTCAAAGGGGCTTTACGAGACATTCACACCGGGTTGCTGGGAGATGTTCATGTGAACCCTTAAATGAAAAAAAAAAAAAGCAATTCCTGAATGCCACGATCCAAGTTCAGAGCAAGTAGTCTTTGGTGACAGAACCCCAGCAGAGATTTAAAAATCATAAAATATGCAGCAAAGCAAAGTGCGGAAATACAGGCTGTTAGACCTTTAAAATGTGCCCTTGTCAGTGCCAAAACTTCCCTCTTCCCCCAGCATAGGAAAATCCCACATGTCTGGTAAGTTATAAACTAGTTTACTTACAAACTCTCCAAATGTCAGGTTCATGTGCTTTTCTATACAGCATTCAAAAACAAGTTGCACAGGCAGCAAAACTTGGCTTAGAGTGGTGGAATTTCCTCAATTTTTGGTACAGGAACTCAAGAGTAGCTTATGAGAGAGCCATGCAGTTTGGAGCAACCAGTTCAGACCTCAGCATATTGAGCTTCTCAGATAGACTGGGGGTTGAGCAAAAGGCTTATTTCCTCCCAAGGTAAGGGGAAGTGACCTCACTAAGCCTGGCAGGCCAGCTTGCTCTATGGTTTTAATCCCTCGTGCATTAATTAGACAAGCATGTTGGATATATGAGACTGGGTATCCCACACTGTGGTAATAATCCCTAATAGCCACTGGTAGCCTTAAGCCTCTTAAGAATGAGACGAAACTTTTTCTAACCCCACCTGAAAGCACTGCTAAGTGGAAACTGAGGTGCATCAGCAAGGCTGTGGGGTTGAGCATTTCCCTCAGGGGTCTCAATCATTCAGGGAGCCTTCGTAGCTAAATGTGTGGCCCCCACTTTTTCAGTTAACAGCTGAAAAAGGCTTAAGTGAGTGGCTATCCCCACATCTTCTGATAGCAAATTTCATACCTGAAAACTAGGCACTGCCCGAAGAAATACTTATTTTTGTCTATCCTGGATTGTCCAAAATTCAGCTTCATAGCCTTCATAGCCTGAGGTCATCCCATGCAGCTGAATGCTGAAATCTGTGGGATGTAATCCACTGAGACCAGTCAAGTACGACATTCCTTGTTTTCCTAGAGTGGACATGCAAGGGAAAGTTTGGTCCAGTCAGTCTAAACTTCCTGTTCCTCCTGGCCTGGAGCATCCTTCCTTGCATGTGACTAGTGGGTGGGCGTGACCTTTCCAGACCTGGTAAAAGGACAAGGCGTGCTGCCACTATATCTCTCCTTTTCCATCTTCCTTTCGTCCTGCAAACATCCGAGACTGCTAACTGCAGTCACTAGGTCAACCTAAATATGGCGTAAACCTGTTTGTATACGTTTGTAACTTTAAGCCTAAAACCTGCCTTCAGGGATCATCACACTTTTCTGCCTGATCATGAGTAAAAAAATTTTTTATTACTTATGAATAAGATCTGTGGTGTCTTTATTCTTTTAGGAGGAATTCGAGGGGGCTTACCAGGAAAATATTAGAACACATTTCAATCTGGACAAGCCAGAAGCCTGCATTGTGATTGGCTGCCTAGGGCTAAGCAGCCAATCCTGCCCTAGGTGGGTGTCGCCAGGGGGCAGGCAGAAGTGTATATAAAGCCCTGTTTTGAGCTCTGGAGGGCTCAATGAAGCTGCCTTGGGTCTTGCTGAAACCCACCTCTCTTCCCTCAGGGCTCAGGAGTCAACTTTCAAATTTGAAAATAAGGGATCAGCAGCCTCACCTGTCCCGGGGACAGTCTACGGGATATCTAACAATCCGGGATAGCAGCAGGAAGCAGCGGGAAATGGCGCTGGAATAAGGGAATTTCCCACACACACAAAAAGGGAAGGTTGACAGCTATGCTCAGGAGGAAGCCCCTCTGTGAGGGCAATGGGACCTTGGAGCCAGGCTACCAATTCTCCATAAACACCCACCCACCCCATCCTGGAACCTGTAGCATAACGCGGTTGCAACTGAGCCCCTCAGGTGAGCCTGGGCATTTGCCAGGCACTGCCTGCTGCTGCCTGTGGAGCCCAGATAAGTGCCCCCCCGGGGAATCTGAGAGGGGCTTGAGCCCCACAGCCCCCCTGAAGTTGGGCACAAAGGCCTACAGGGCCAGTTGCTGCATCTCTGTCCAAGAAGAGCTGTGGGTGGGGAAGGTCAGCTTGGCCCCAGCAGGACAGGACTTGCCTGGAGACATCTCAGGCCTCTCCTTGGGCCTAGTGAAAGGGGTTCTTTCTCTGCCTTGTTCCTCCACATCCCTTCCATTGAGTGTTTTGTCTCTGGAGTTTCCAAACCTGAGGGCAGGACTTGTCTCACCTTGTTTTAAATCAGTGTCAGCTGCTTTAGGAAACAACAAGAGTCTACAAAGCAGGATAAAAATAATAGGAAAAGTATTAAACTGTACACTTAAAAGAAAAAAAACACACACACATATATATATATCACCCTCGAGTTGCATGGCATTAACATTGTTCTAACCATTAGGCAACACAGACTCTACTAGAACCTTGGCACTATGGCTGTGAATTCCATGTTCTCAACTGCTGTTGCCTAGCAACGGAGCTTGCGACAGTTTGAACGGAGGTTCCTGCATCCTCAGCATCTCAAGGTTTGCAGAGGTGGGCTGCAGTGACCTTCGCTCAGTCCCTACATTAGAAGATGGCGTCCAAAAGACTCCTGGAGGTAAGTGGAGGTTGCCATGACCCATGGACTTAACTCTAGAACCTAGATTAATGGTATCACCAAAGAGCTATCCAAAGTCACAGAAAGGGTTGCGCTTTGCCCAAGTTTTTGGAAGTGGAGAAGGAATGCCAAAAAGGAAAATTTGGTGTTCTATATTGCAGTTGATTGAATATTATTTTGAACAGAGGATTCCTTTTGATTTATGTACACGTGAATCTGGGAGAGGCTTCATTTATATTTCTACATGCTGGGTGTTATCTTTCTACTATAGTTTGGAAGAGAAAAGGGAAAACAGAAGAAGAAAAGAGAGCGTGAGCGGCTGGCCCAGTGGAGGAGAAGGGGGTGCCGGATGGAGCTGGTTTTTCTGCAGAGCTGATGCAGGGAGCTCTGCTGCCCACCTGTCCACAGAGTCCTTCAGAGGGAAGGGCTGCTCCCAGGTGCAGGTGAGGGAGAGACAGGCGGCCTGGCGGAGCTCTGCTCCTGGAGGAAGGATGGATGAGAAACAACACCATGGGTGCCAGCTCCCTCAGACCTCCTCTCCCCCAACTGTCATCTGGCAGCAGCCATTTCATCAGGCTGCCGCAGTGGGAGAGATGAGAACAGCATTCTAGACACTGGGGCCTGAGCTTGCGAGTTGTCTTTTCCTCTGCCCTCCTTGCCCCCTTTCCTTGTGTGTTGCATTTCTGTTTGTCAGATTGTTTATTACGATATTAAGCTGGCAATTAGGGAGCTTCTTGCATTTGATTTCATGTAAGAGCCTTGGGGGGGGCGTGGCCGGCCCTATTTAGGGTCGGCGTGGCCGAGGCTCCCCCTCTTTTCACTGCGCCAGCCAGCTGATTTGTTCCCCACCCTCCCTCCCTTTAGGCAGGTTCCTTGACATTGCTATGGACTTCGGTTGGTCGCTGCAAGGGGCCTGGTAGGAATTTTTCCCATTTGGCAAATTTGAGGCCTTTTGGTTTTTCGCCTACCTCGTAGCAACTTGTCACAACTCCGCGGCACTGGCGGTTAGGCATTGGTAAGGGAAGGTTAAAAGTATGTGAGGGGAGGAGGAAGCGCCATCGCCTTCCCCCACAGCAAAGGGTAGTCTGATAAAGGACTCGGGGGGGGCGTTGCCCTGTCCAAAGCCTATGGAGGTGTGGGCCTAAGGAACGCCCCCGAGTGGTGACCCCGGGGGAGCTCCTAGTTGACGTGCCTCAGCAGGACTCCCCCTGCTGGTGTTAACCCTTGCCGGTCTTCATGCAATCGGGCTGAAGCTGGCTAGTCGATAGGTCCCAATGCCTAAGCCAATACCGCTCATTCCTGTAATCAATAAAGTTGTGGCCTAATTTTGCCCATTAACCTTAATTCTTGGTGTCCTGTGTCATTTCTTCTGGGGGGAGGCGGGAACTCGCCACGCAATCAACTTTAATTGCCCAAATCTAAATTTCTGGTATGCACTTGAATCCCTCCTGCAAATCAGCAACAGTCTGGAGGTACCCTAAGTCAGGGATAAGTAATTTGTGGTCTTCCATGTGCTACGGGACTCTAGCTCCCATCAGCCCCAGCCATCACAACCAGTAATCAGTGATGATGGGAACTGGAGTCCAGCAAGGTCTGGAAGGCTGCAGGGTCCCCATCATTGTCCTAAGTGGTTTACCTTGGGCAAGTCTCTGCATCTCTGAGCATCTTCCCCAAGGTCTGGAGGGTGGCAACACAAGAACAGGGCCTTCTCTGCAGTGGCTCCCCGTTTGTAGAATGCTCTCCCCAGGGAAGTTCGACTGGCGCCTTCATTGCACACCTTTAAGTACCAAGCAAACACATTCCTTTTTAACCAGGCTTTTGGCTGATCGACATCCAATGCCCTTTTAAAATGTGTTGGGGAGGGGGGATTATTGGGTTGTTTTTGTTTCTGTGTATTTTGCAATTTTATATTGTGATTTTATCTTGTGTACCACCCTGAGACGTGCTGGTTACAGGGCGGTATACAAATTCAACAAATAAATTTAAAAAAACAACCACGGAGAATGGCTGTGCCGATATTACAGCACTGTAGCCAGAGTTATCGCTTTTGCAATTTGTGTAATGGGATTGCATTGTAAGGATTGAATAAGCACAGTTAAAATGCCAAATTGAAAGCTCTATAGTATACACAACGGTACTGAAAAAGGCGGCCTGAAATAACTCAAGCATTCCTCAAAGAGTTAAAACTTTCGCTCTCCAAGCCTTGGGTCTATTTGTGGAAACTGCATTGTCGGATCAACAGATGGTCAGGAGAAAAAAATAAAAACACATTTTTTGACATCTTCCTTCATGTTTGCGTCGGCAGCCTACTCTCCCGTGGGCGACTTTCTAAGCAGGCAACATCTTCGTGTGGCTGGTCTTCTCACCATCCAGATCCATGGACCTGTTTGCTACCAAATGTCTTGTTGAACCCTAAAACTGACTTTCTCAGTTTTCAGTGTCTCGTCAGGGAGGTCTGTCCTGTTGCCAGTTATTTCTAGCTCAGACAAAGCTCTTTCCATCCAGACATTCCTCCTGATCACACTTTGGATGCAGCTGGGGAATGCTGTTGCCTCCGGGGTGCATGGCCTGGAGGGCAGAATCACAACCCCTTGCAATGCAGGACTATGCAGATGTCCAGTACGGGGATTGAACCTGCAGCCTTGGTGTTATCAGAACCATGCTCTAACCAACTGAGCTGTCACAATCAACTGTGAAAAGAGGTGAGCAGAGATGGGGAGCCTGTGGACCACCAGGTGTCACTGGACTACAACTCTGATGATCTCCAGCCAGCATGGCCAATGGTCAGGGATGGTGGGAATTGGAGTCCAGCAACATTTGGAGGGCCACAGGTTCCCACCCCAGATTTTCAGGCAGGGGGAGGATGCACTGTTCTTTGGCAGCTCTGTTGTTCCTTGGTCAACTGACAAACAGAATGTGGTAGCAGAAGACTGCTGTCCCCCTGTGGGAGTTGTTCTGGGGGGGGGATCTCTTGGTCCAAGTCCTATGTACGAACGGCAAACTCATTCCTCAAGTGCCATTCCCTGTGTAGCCCCAAGGGGCACCCCTCTCTTGTTCTGGCTCCCATAGAAGAGCTCATAGGATAAGTCAGCACCATGGAGAGCTCCAAGTAAGCCACTTGCTCTGACCAGGGTTGAAACACTCTGGCCTGAAGATCATAGTGTTTTAAGGGACTATGGGAGTCATCTAGTCCAACACCCTGCAATGCAGGAATATTTTGCCCAGTGTAGGACTTGAACCCACGACCCTAAGATTAAGAGTTTCATGCTCTACCAGCTGAGCAATCCCAGAGGTGTGAAGGGCAAGCTCTGCATTCCATGGCCTATCTCCTGCTCCCTACACTGTTCAGCTGGTACTGTGAATGGTACCCAGTTCTTCAAGCACTGAGAAAAGCATCTGCAAGTGTCTGTGGACAGTGGTGTCATGGCATCTGGTTAAAGTTTCTGCCTGCCAGCCTCAGGGACATGCCCCTCTGCTCACCAGCATCAAGCTCAGAGCTCTAGCTCCTTTGCCAGTAACATCACCGTAGCTCCAGCTCAGTGTCCTGGCCACTGCTAGAATCTGGCATCGTGGCGGCCAGACACTAACAAGCAGACTCGGTGTCATGGTCCGGTTCATGGGCGATCGAAGACCTGGCAGGAGAAATCAGGACCGGGGGCAAGATGGCGGGGTAGGAGCAGGAACGGGGGTCCAAAAGCCAGGAGTCAAGAAGACAAGGGTTCGAGGGTCAGGAAGCAAGGAGGCACGAAGTCAGGGGTCCGAGGATCAAGAAGCAGGGAGTCAAGAAGCCGAGGTTCAAGGATCAGGAAGCAAGAAGCCAAATGCAGGAAGGCAGGGAGCGTGTTGCTGTGGCAAGGAGCCGAAGGGAACTGCTGACCTTATATCCCTTCCCAGCTCTTGCCACCAGGTGCTGTGAGTTACCAATCGGCCTCACCTGTGAGGCCACGCCTTGCCTCTTCAGAACAAACTTAGGAAGGCCCCAGTCCTGCAAAGTCCTATTGGTCACAGGGCCTGGCTCCTGCACGCACACCTGACACACGGCACCCCTAGGCAGGGGGAACCAAAGCAGCCCAATTGTCAAGAACCCTGCTGGCTTGGACAGGAGTGGCAAATGCTGCTGGAGGAGGAGGAGGGTGTGGAAGGTGCCATCACCAGGGAGCAGTCTGAGATGGAGGAAAGAGGCTCCACTCCTCTGCCTTTAGAGACCAGGGAAAGGAAGACATTCCCTCTGTCTCCCTGTTCTGACCCATCCGTGCAGTGTAGAGATTCCCTACTGGGACCAGCCAGGACGGAAAGCTGGGTAGCTCTTGTAGTTCAGAACACCAAAGGGGCACCAGGTTGGGGAAGGCTTGCCGAGTTAACTAGAAAGGATGTGGACCAAGAACATTTCTGTTGTGGTGCCCACCTCCTTTGGTCACACCCACACCATGCAATTTATAGCACTTTTCAGCAAACTTTTTCAGCAGGGGGCCGGTCCACTGTCCCTTGTGGGGGGCCGGATTATATTTTGAAAAAAATAATAATGAACGAATTCCTGTGCCCCACAAATAACCCAAAGATGCATTTTAAATAAAAGCACACATTCTACTCATGTAAAAACACGCTGATTCCTGGACCGTCCACGGGTCGGATTTAGAAGGCAATTGGGCCGGATCCGGCCCCCAGGCCTTAGTTTGCCTACCCATGGTCCAAAGGATCCCAGGAGCTGAAGTTTCTTAAAGGTGCCAGGAAGTGTACCTCTGTGAGGGATATACTACAGTTCCCAGAATTCTTTGGGAGAAGAGGTATGCTTTAAGTGCACTTTAAATGTATGTTGTGGGAATGTGACCTTTATTGAATGTCTTTTCCCAGGAGATCAGGCTTGCTCCTTCCTTGTTTATCTTCCCCAGAAAGTATTTTTTTAAAAAATAAAAAATATCTAGCTCCTGATGGTTTCTGGTGAGTATACAGTGGTACCTCGGGTTAAGTACTTAATTCGTTCCGGAGGTCCGTTCTTAACCTGAAACGGTTCTTAACCTGAAGCACCACTTTAGCTAATGGGGCCTCCTGCTGCTGCCATGCCGCCGGAGCATGATTTCTGTTCTCATCCTGAAGCAAAGTTCTTAATCCAAGGTACTATTTCTGGGCTGCGGAGTCTGTAACCTGAAGCGTATGTAACCTGAAGTGTATGTAACCCAAGGTACCACTGTATCAATGTTACGGAAATTTTCTGCAGTGGTCCAGAGATAATGGTTTTCAGGTGGGGGTTGTGTGTTGGTTCAAGCACCTCTCTCTCCTTTTTTGGGGTGAAAAAGCAGCTAATAAAGAGCAACTAACAAGTATTATAAATAAGCACCCCTTCCTGTGGCACACACAGCATCTGGGCAGGGGAGGGTACGCGATGCTGCCTTCCCACATCCTCACCGAATGCGCACAAGGGGGATGGCAGAGATGCAGCCTTGTGGAGGACCAGTGGGCGGCAGGGCGTGCTTATTTGGAGATTTTATCTCCATGAATCAGACAGCCTACTTTGTCAATCTGGAGAGGAAAATTAATAAGCTGCACTAGTCACAACAATGCACCAATTTCCTCCCCCAGTCCTACTTCTGGCAATAATAGATCACACATTTTGTTAAACAAAAAAACCCAGCCAACTACGATCAATATGAGCCATGAAACAGATCTGTAAAGAGGCAGGTCGAAGAATAAAGGAAGATTAAGATAAGTGTTAAGGGTCGCGGGTGGCGCTGTGGGTTAAACCACAGAGCCTAGGACTCAGAAGGTCGGAGGTTCGAATCCCCGCAACGGGGTGAGCTCCCGTTGCTCGGTCCCTGCTCCTGCCAACCTAGCAGTTCGAAAGCACGTCAAAGTGCAAGTAGATAAATAGGTACCGCTCTGGCGGGAAGGTAAACGGCGTTTCCATGCGCTGCTCTGGTTCGCCAGAAGCAGCTTAGTCATGCTGGCCACATGACCCGGAAGCTGTACGCTGGCTCCCTCGGCCAATAAAGCGAGATGAGCACCGCAATCCCAGAGTCGGCCACGACTGGACCTAGCGGTCAGGGGTCCCTTTACCTTTAACTTTAAGCTAAGTGTTGGAGGGGGAAACGCCAAAATTGAATGTCACTGACTCAACAATGCAACAGGAAATGGTTTCCTGACAATCCTGTGGTGTTGGGCATTGCATCACTTTGGGGCTATGAGAGGGAAAAGGTAAAGGACCCCTGGACAGTTAAGTCCAGTCAAAGGCAACTATGGGGAAAGCTCATCTCGCTTTCAGGCCGAGGGGAACGGAGTTTGTCCACGGGATCATGTGGCCAGCAGGACTAAACCGCTTCTGGTGCAACGGAACACCGTGATGGAAGCCAGAGCACACAAAAATGCCACTTACCTTCCCGCCGCAGTGGTACCTATTTATCTACTCGCATTGGCATGCTTTCGAACTGCTAGGCTGGCAGGAGCTGGGACAGAGCAACGGGAGCTCACCCCGTCGCGGGGATTCGAACCACCGACCTTCCACTCGGCAAGCCCAAGAGGCTCAGTGGTTTAGACCACAGCCCCACCCACATCCCATCAGGGGCTAGAAAAGGATACTTGTAGCCTGGCATACACAGTTAAACGTGTGCATATTAAGTGAAAATGATGTGCCACATCTACTAAAATAAAAAATAAAATAAAAATCTGGCAAGCAGACTAAATGCCTGGCTTCTAGCCTTGTGCGCACATTTAAACAAAAAACTCGCAAACCAGCCCAGAAACAAAACCACCATCTGGTCAGCTGGCAACCTCATATGCAGTTCTGATCCAATTCCTCTAAATGGTGAAGCAGCAAAAGCAGAAAGCAAAAACTTCCTTCTGGGCTAGAGATTTTACTCAAGGGGTGGGGAATGTGTGGCCCTCCAAATGGACTACGGCTCCCGTAATCCCTGGGGCTGATGGGAGTTGGAGTCCGAAGCCCTGCCATGTGTATCAGAGCCACTAAGGAGTTTGGGGATGGAGAGCCATTCCGTGCTCAGTCTTCCACTGAGGATGGTAGAACGGGAGTCAGGAGATTAAGGCAGAGGTGACACTCCATCTCCCATCATTCCTGGCCCACTCTATTAGCCGTCTGGAGAGTTGGGGAACTGCAGGTCCAGCATCCCTGGGTTAGCTCAGCTGAGATGCCTCAAAGACCTTTAAAGGTAAAGGGACCCCTGACCATTAGGTCCAGTCGTGGCCAACTCTGGGGTTGCGGCGCTCATCTCGCTTTATTGGCCGAGGGAGCCGGCGTACAGCTTCCGAGTCATGTGGCCAGCATGACTAAGCCGCTTCTGGCAAACCAGAGTAGCGCACGGAAACGCCGTTTACCTTCCCACCGGAGCGGTACCTATTTATCTACTCGCACTTTGACATGCTTTCGAAGTGCTAGGTGGGCAGGAGCAGGGACCGAGCAACGGGAGCTCACCCCGTCATGGGAATTCGAACCGCCAACCTTCTGACTGGCAAGTCTGTGGTTTAACCCACAGCGCCACCCGCATCCCCAAAGATCTTTAGGTTCCAATAATTCTATGCACCCAACTGCGTCCACCTTCCACACAAACCTAGTTTCTGCTAATATTAAAATACAATAGTCTATTAAACATTAAAAGCTTCCCTAAACAGGGCTGCCTTCAGATGTCTTCTAAAGGTCTGGTAGTTGTTTTTCTCTTTGACATCTGGTGGGAGGGCGTTCCACAGGGCGGGTGCCACTACCGAGAAGGCCCTCTGCCTGGTTCCCTGTAACTTGGCTTCTCGCAGCGAGGGAACCGCCACTTCCCCAACTGGCTCCAAAATAAAGCCAGTATCCTAAAACTGGCTCCAAAATAAAGCAATGCTTTATAGAAGCTATTTTATTACATGATGGAATTGCACAGTATGTTCTGTGTATGCCACTGGAGGTCCGGTGGCAAAAACACTGGGGTTTCCCACTGTTCGGTTGTTGTACAGGTGACAATGCCTCACACAAAGGTCACATCCATATTATTATTATTATTATTATCCCCTGCACATCTAGCTAGATTGCCCCAGCCACTCTGGGTGGCTTCCAACACAAATAAAAACAAAGCAAAGCATCAAACATTATGAACTTTCTGATACAGGCTGCTTTCAGGTGTCTTCTAAAAGTTGTATAGTTATTTATCTCCTTGAAATCTGATGGGAGAATGTTCCACAGGGTGGGCACCACTGCCAAAATGAACCTCTGTCCTGTTCCCTGTAATTTCACTTCTCGCAATGAGGGAACTGCCAGAGCTGGACCTCAGTGTCAGATCTGAACAACATTGGTGGAGGGGCTCCTTCAGGTGTACATTTATACATTTAATGCAGTCTCATACCGCTTTAAAGCCATGGCTTCTCCCAAAGAATCATGGGAAGTGTAGTTTGTTAAGGATGTTGGGAGGTGTGTGTCATTTTGCATTTCTTAGTACAGATTTATCTGATGTGTAGGAATTATTGATCTGATGTGGAACCCTATTCCAGAGGGTTCTGGAAGCTTCTCTGTGTGAAAGAAGCAAGCAGAAGGTTCATAATGTTTGTGTTATTCCTTCAGAGAAGCTAAGCACAGCTGGTTTAAACTGGTTCTCTTAGCCCAGGCTTCCTCAGACTCGGCCCTCCAGATGTTTTTGGCCTCCAACTCCCATGATTCCTAGCTAACAGGACCAGTGGTCATGGATGATGGGAACTGTAGTCCCAAAACATCTGGAGGGCCGAGTTTGCCCATGCCTGGCCAAGGCCGCCCAAGTGCCATATTGGTGCTTTAAATGTATGGTGTGGTTGTGGCCAGATTCAAGCTACAGTCCTGTGCTGCCAGCCACGGCAGAGCTCAGTGGAGGGAGAAGCCAGCCAACCAGTCGAATCTCAGGGGGGTACTTGCCTGGAGGCAGAGTCCGTATACAAGGTCCAGTCCCAAGGTCAGGAATATCTCAGTTCATGTAGCCAGATGATCCAGGGGTCGAGGAAGCCGAGGGCCCAAGGTCAAAAGAAGCAAGAAGCAGAGAGTTCTGGCCAGGAACGAGGAGTATTGTTTCCAGCAACCGGCCGAAGCTAGAAAGCTGGTGCCAGCTGGTTCTCATCAGGAGCAAGGAGGCTGATCAGCAGCAGGTGGAGTCACTTCACCTTCTGCTCCTTCAGGCTGCTGCTCAACAGGTGAAGCCAACTCCTGGCCCATGACAACAGGTTCATCTGGCTCAAACCAGCTGCAGTCACGCATGCGCCGCACCTTCCAGGGATCGAATCTGGAAACTTCTGTTGATAAAGCAGGTGTGGGGAACGCATTGCTCAGCTATAACTCCCACCATCCTCGGCCATTGGCCATTCTTGCTGCAGCTGATGAGAGTTGTGGTTCAACAGCGTCTCTGAAGGGCTGTAGGTTCCCCACAGTTGCTTTAAGTGTAGCATGTGAACAAACAAAAGAACCACCTTTGGGATGAGGCCGAAGTGTTGAAGTAAGAGTAGCAAAATTGCAGCCAAGAAGCTCAAATCATACATATACAGTTATACCTCGGGTTACAGACGCTTCAGGTTGCGTTTTTTTGGGTTGCGGGCCGCTGAAACCTGGAAGTACCGGAATGGGTTACTTCCAGGGTTTGGCAATTGCGCATGCACAGAAGCGCTAAATCGCAACCCGTGTGTGCGCAGACATGCCGCTGTGGGTTGCGGACACTGCGGGTTGCGAATGTGCATCCCACATGGCTCACGTTCGCAACCCAAGCGTCCACTGTACATATACATATACAGGTAAAGGTAAAGGGACCCCTGACCATTAGGTCCAGTCGTGGCCGACTCTGGCGTTGCAGTGCTCATCTCGCTTTATTGGCCAAGGGAGCAGGCATACAGCTTCCGGGTCATGTGGCCAGCAGGACTAAGCCGCTTCTGGCGAACCAGAGCAGTGCACGGAAACGCCGTTTACCTTCCCGCCAGAGTGGTACCTATTTATCTACTTGCACTTTGACGTGCTTTTGAACTGCTAGGTTGGCAGGAGCAGGGACCGAGCAACAGGAGCTCACCCCATCACGGGGATTCGAACCACCGACCTTCTGAGCAGCAAGTCCAAGGCTCTGTGGTTTAACCCACAGCGCCACCCGTGTCCCTTACATATACATATATACATAAGAGACTGTCACCCTTATTTGGATATGAAACCAATGTCCATATTCAAAAACTTTACTTGCACAAACTTATAGCTACAGATGAATTGCAACATGATATTTACAGTCACATGCTCATCCAAGCATGGACACACAGTGTCTTCTAACTTCCAAATAATTGTATTTTACTGTCTTTCCAGGACTAAGCACTCAGCTTTCTGTATCTTGATTAGGCCATGCCTTGCAGCTCCTATGAGAGATTTGCACTTTTACTTTCTCCTGCAGCTTTGCTCTCCAGATCCTCTCAGGCAGAGAAGAAGCGTTCCAACACTCTGTTCAACTTAGCAGTGTTCACAGTGGATTCTAAAGAACAGTCCTCTCGCTTCACACAAAATGGAGTCTCTCCTTCACTAGATACCTCCCATGTGACCAACCTTAGCCAATCACATGAGAGCTACCAGAGAACTCTCTAGAATTCGGTTACCAACCAATCAAATGTAAACACATAGTAGTGCATACAAGCACTTGCAATCGGTGAATTAAATTACTATACTTAACAGATGCTTGTGGGAACCCCGCAAGCAAGACCCAAGCACAGTGGCACCCTCCCATCATGTGGCTTCCAGCAACAGGTATTCAGAAGCATAACTGTTCCAAACTATGGAGGCAGAACATAGGCAGTATAGCCAGTAGCTATTGAAAGCCTTGCCAACAAAGAGACATCACCTTGCCAACAAAGGTCCGTATAGTTCAGGGGTCTGCAACCTTTAAGACAAAAAGAGCCACTTGGACCCGTTTCCGAAGGGAAAAAAAACTGGGAGCCGCAAAACTCGTCATTATAAAAATAACTTTTTTGTCACTTTTTTTATTATTTCTTTGTTCGACCCCTCAGAATTACTCCTCCTCATAGAAATAAACGTTAAATTAACAAGTTACCTTTTTTTGTGTGTGTGTTCTTCACTCCCCTTCAAAACAGTGACCAGCGTACATGCCCCCTTTCAATGCAGTGACCAGCGTACATGCCCCTTACAATGTAGCGGGTGGGCGGGCGGGAAGGTGACGTCGGGACGGTGCGTGACTAACGCACGCACCGCTCCCATGCGACGTCACAGCCAGTACAGCGCCCGCCACAGTGGGGAGTGTCGGGGCGCACAATGCGCCTCCTCCCCTCACTAGTATCCGCCCCGGAGCCACAGCAAAGGTGTAAAAGAGCCACATGCGGCTCCGGAGCCGCGGGTTGCTGACCCCTGGTATAGTTAAAGCTATGGTTTTCCCAGTAGTGATGTATGGAAGTGAGAGCTGGACCATAAAGAAGGCTGATCACTAAAGAATTGATGCTTTTGAATTCTGGTGCTGGAGGAGACTCTTGAGAGCCCCATGGACTGCAAGAAGATCAAACCTATCCATTCTGAAGGAAATCAGCCCTGAGTGCTCACAGGAAGGACAGATCCTGAAGCTGAGGCTCCAATACTTTGGCCACCTCATGAGAAGAGAAGACTCCCTGGAAAAGACCCTGATGTTGGGAAAGATGGAGGGCACAAGGAGAAGGGGACGACAGAGGACGAGATGGTTGGACAGTGTTCTCGAAGCTACCAGTGTGAGTTTGACCAAGCTGCGGGAGGCAGTGGAAGACAGGCGTGCCTGGCTTGCTCTGGTCCAGGGGGTCACGAAGAGTCAGACACGACTAAACAACAACAAATTGAAAGCCTTTCCCTCCATGAAGTTCTGTCGTCCTTCCCCAAGTATTTCCATCAATCCAGTTCTTTTGTTAGCCCATCCACAGCTCCCTAGTATTCCATGCCAGCTCCACTTGCCTCCGCAAGCAAGTTCATCGGCCACGTAGCCAAATTATGCAAATAAAAGGGAGAAGAATGCTAATAATAACCCACTTCTATATTTTTATCCCTGATTTTGGAAGTTGGTCAGTCATCCAAAACGATATTTTTTTAGAACCATTAAATATGACAAACAGGAGCAGAGCGTTTCCGCATCCACACGCTATCTCTTTTTCTCTCTTGCGCACAGCGTACCTGCCAGCACGCATGACTGCTAGTGGGGGGGGGGGTGAGGAAAGCTTTATTTTTAATTGCTATAATTTCATTTCAAGTGTGCCGAGTTCTAAGAATAGACAGCCTTGTCTTGTATTTATCATCTCGCCACAGCTTTCCTTACCCTCCTCCTGGCAGAGAGGCCCTCTTCCCCCCTCCCTTGTTTTTTTTCCTCAGAGAGGGGGGAAAGTTAACCAAAGTTAATCGAGATCAGTAAGAATATGTGATATGTGTGTGCGAGCACGCACAGAGAGAGAGAGGGTGTGCGTCTTGCAGAGATTTTGAGAGGGCTTGAACTTTGTGTGTTGGTGACAGCGATAAAACTGCCACTGGTCCTGAATGGGGTAACTGTGCCCCTGAAGGACCAGGTGCGCAGCCTGGGAGTCATTTTGGACTCACAGCTGTCCATGGAGGCGCAGGTCAATTCTGTGTCCAGGGCAGCTCCACCTGGTACGCAGGCTAAGACCCTACCTGCCCGCGGACTGTCTCGCCAGTGGTGCATGCTCTGGTTATCTCCCGCTTGGGACTACTGCAACGCGCTCTACGTGGGGCTACCTTTGAAGGTGACCCGGAAACTGCAATTAATCCAGAATGCAGCAGCTAGACTGGTGCCTGGAAGTGGCCGCCGGGACCACATAACACCGGTCCTGAGAGATCTGCATTGGCTCCCAGTACATTTCCGAGCACAATTCAAAGTATTGGTGCTGACCTTTAAAGCCCTAAACTGCCTCGGCCCTGTATACCTAAAGGAGCGTCTCCACCTCCATCATTCTGCCCGGACACTGAGGTCCAGTGCCGAGGGCCTTCTGGCAGTTCCCTCGCTGCGAGAAGCCAAGTTACAGGGAACCAGGCAGAGGGCCTTCTTGGTAGTGGCACCCGCCCTGTGGAACGCCCTCCCATCAGATGTCAAAGAGATAAACAACTACCTGACATTCAGAAGACATCTGAAGGCAGCCCTGTTCAGGGAAGTTTTTAATATTTAACACTGTATTGTTTTTAACACTTGATTGGGAGCCGCCCAGAGTGGCTAGGGAAACCCAGCCAGATGGGCGGGGTATAAATAATAAATTATTAATTATTATTAATTATTATTATTATCACCACAGTTCCTGCTTCAGCCCCCAACCCCAGAAGTTAGATCTCCAATTGGGGTTGTGTTGGAGATGAACGCCTTTTGCCTCTAAATGCAAGCGTAGGGACAAAAAAAATTAAAAAAAAATGCCAGCAAATGGCTTCCCTTTGCTCCCTCCAACTTCCAGAACTAATCAACAGCGGGCGGAGAAAAGCCTCAGCAATATGTAATATAGTGGGAGGGCAGCAGTTCAAGCGTGAAAATCAGGGTGTGTTCCAAGAATATCGAAGCGTCCTTAATTTTCATCTGCAAAACATTTGGTAACCATACTCTTGGCTGAATTAAAGAGATGGCAATGGTCTAGAGCCGTGGTTCCTAACCACACGCCCCACAGGGGGTGCAATTTGATTTGAGGGGGGGGGCAATTCGAGAATGAGTTATTATTAACAGTGGTTTGTTTGTTTTTTGCATTTCTTATGGTTCTAGGGGCCTCATATACAGCATAGAAATACCGTATTTTTCGCTCTATAAGACGCACCAGACCATAAGATGCACCTAGTTTTTGGAGGAGGAAAACAAGAAAAAAAATATTCTGAATCTCAGAAGCCAGAACAGCAAGAGGGATCGCTGCGCAGCGAAAGCAGCAATCCCTCTTGCTGTTCTGGCTTCTGGGATAGCTGCGCAGCCTGCATTCGCTCCATAAGACGCACACACATTTCCCCTTACTTTTTAGGAGGGAAAAAGTAGTCTTATAGTGCAAAAAATATGGTATATATTGCGACACGCACATTTAAAAAATTAAAATCAGAATGTAAACGGTGGTCTTTTCGGTGCCTGCTAAAAACATTCTTGTTTAGACAAGCCCACCAAGAAGCTTAGAAAGTTGGAGGCAATTTTATTGCTTTAACTTTTGTATGTTTTAAAGGACGGCGGTGAGTTTCCCCTCCATTTCCTTGCTGTCGTTTTGTAAACCGCTTTTGAGTTTTCTTGCAATCAAGAGCCGCGCATAAATCTTACGATTTCCATAGACAAAAAAACCAAACAAACAAACAAACCAGAGAGAAACGAAGAGATCATGTCCACACCCTTTTTTTATTGACTGTTTTTTTAAAAAACAGCAGATCCATCACCAATTTCTCACAGCAGCACAAGGCAAGCATTCAAAATCTCATCTTATGCACAAACCTGCCGGCATCCATCAAATCTTAAGCCATTCACACTCCATATTCATCGTACCATGCAACCAATCCAGAAGGTCAAGTTCCAAAAACACACACAAGAAATAAAGGCGTCACGGGGAAGGGGAGGGTTGGATGGAGACCAACAGCACCCGAGTCAGAGAGATAGTCTTGAAAGCAGAGGTGCAAGTTGAGAACCCCACAAAGCGCCCAAACCACACGAGGCATTGGGGACGGGGACGGGGGTTTAAAGAGAGAAAGAGAAAGAGTCCAAAAAGACCAAAAAGGGAGGAGGAAAACCAAGCTGGGGGAGATTAAGAAGAAGTCCACATGGTGTCTGTACAAGACAGTTCTCCACAGCGCAGACAGACTCTCGGGTCCCTCTCCTTTGACCCCCCCAGCCCAGAAACACTACCTGCTCCCCCCCGTAAGCCTATATTAAGTTGACCCACCCCCAAAGGCTCGTAAAGTTTAGTGCCGCAAAACAGACTTCCCCCGCCCAATCGTGTTGTAGAAGCCCCTGGTGCCATCCGGGCCTTGAGGACGCCGAATCACTTTCAGCCGGGCATTGAGTGATTCAGGCACCCTTTTGGAAGTGGGCGCTGAGCTCAGGGGCTCCGGTTTCAGGGAGGGGAGCGGCTGTTGCTGTTGCTGCTGCCTGCAGGCTGGTCCTTGCTGCTTTGGGGGCCACAGAACCCCCACGCCGAGCCCGCTCGTCTCCCAGCAGGAGTTGGGCGGCTTCTGCAACCCGCAAGGGCCGTTGCTGGGCTTGGGCGCGGAGAGAGGAGGGAAGCAGAGCGGCCACGACAGCGGCTTGTGCAGGAGTGGGCGAGGGCCGGCGCAGGGCATGCTGAAGAAATTGGGCTTGAAGGCCTGGCCAGCAGAGGCGCAGAAGCCAGCAGTGGGCCAGACTGGAGCAGAGAGGAAGTTCGGAGGCAGGATGGGAGTGGATACGGGCGTGCCGTCAGACTCGGTCGATGAGCTGTAGAAGGAGTCTTCAAAGGCAAGCGGAGGGCCTTCAGTCAACGCGCCGTTCCACATCCTTGCAGGCTTCTCAGCCTCCTCGGCCTCTTCACCGTCTTCCTGACTGGTCACGCTCTTCTTCTTGGAGCCCCTTCCAGAGAGGCTAACCACCTTGATGGCGTCCCCATTCAGGGAGGAGGCAGCGGCTTGGCTGCGGACCAGCTCCTCAAAAGCCTTCCGGGTGCTTTCCAAGCTGTCGTACTCCACCACGGCGCAGCACTTGGTCAAGAGCTCTGGGTACCGCGATGAGCACTTGCTGACATCCGAAGGGAGCTTCTTGCCTGGCCGGAGGATGCGGATGGAGGCGATGTCGCCGAAGGGGCTGAACAGCTTGGTGATGTTGTTGAGGAAGGTCATCTGGAACTGGAGAGAGCTGTGGGTGGCCGGCTCGTACGGAAGGACGTTCCAGGCCAGCAGCATCTTGCTCGAAGGGATGTTCACCAGATGTTCGGGGACGGGGGTCTTCCTGCGCACCTTCGTCCCTTCCTCGTTGACCTCCAGCAGCTCCGAAAACTGCAGGGCGTAAAGGGTCACCCGCCAATCTCTGGTTAAATATTTCACCTGGTTAAAAAAGAGGGGGGAAAGTAGAAGAGAAAGAGAGGCAGTTTTGCATGCTTCTCTTTAAAGTAATAAATTTATTATTATTGATTTGATTAGATTGATTGAATTTTACATACCGCTCTATACCCGGAGGTCTCAGGTCGGTTCACAGAACGAAATCAAAATATAAAACCACAAAATGCATAATCAAAATAAGAACAACTGCCCAATAATGCCCCCTCCCCAAAGAGCGAAGTTTTTAATGTTTGATGTCTTACTCTGTTTATTTGCACAGACAGGCAGAGACCCCCTCCCCACAAAACCCAGGCAACCCCCGGATGGAATAATGACACCTGGCAACGTGTTATGGGATTAAAATTGGCCACAACTTTATTAAACTTTCAGATGTAGGACGACCTTGGCATAGGCACTGGGCGAAGATCTGGAGCCGACTGAGGACTAACAGGTAAGCTACACTATTGTGAATGTGGGGCGGTCCTAACTCTACCTGACCAACTCCCCTGGCAATGCCCCGCCCCCAGCCGGGATTGGTTAATTGTCGAAGCTAGGTGGGTACCTCCAGGTACCCTGCTAGGGGGGGGGGCGAAGCCAGGCTACTTTGCTGGGAGTCTCATAGTCTTGGGGGGGGTTGCGGGCAACCACACAAAAGCCACCCCCCAGTTAATGTGGGGAGCGGTCACTGCTGGGGCAACACAGTCAGATGGTTGGCATATAAATAATAAACTGCTATTATTGTTATTGTTGTTATTATTATTACCCACCCATCTGAGTGGTTGCCCCAGCCACTCTGGGCAGCTTCCAACACATACAGTATAAAAGCATAATAAAACATCAAACATTAAAAACTTCCTGATACAGGGCTGCCTTCAGATGTCTTCTAAAAGTTGGGTAGTTCTTTATCTCCTTGACATCTGATGGGAGGGCGTTCCACAGGGCGGGCACCACTACCTTTCCCCCTGTATCTTCACTTCTCACAGTGAGGGATGGAGCTGTGCTAATATTATTATTTTGCACAGCTCCATCTTCCTTAGGCACAGCTTGCTAAACATGTGATCACTGCCACAGAGCTATGTGGCTTGGAACAGAGCATACGCCGGACACAGAGTCAGACCGTTAGTCCTTCCAGCTTAGCATTGTCTGTACTGAGCTGCAGTGGCTCTCCAGAGATTCGGAACAAGAGTCTTTCCCCTTGGAAACTGCAAGGGACTGAAGCTGGGATCATTGCCATGCAAAGCAGTCGCTCGGCCACTAAGCTACAGAGGTCCATAGCGGTCAACGTTTCCCTTTTTTAAAGGCAAATTCCCTTATTCCAAATAGGATTCCTTGCAAGAAAAGGAAAAAGTTGACAGCTATGCAGAGGTCGCAGCTTTGACCTTGGGATCCAAACGCATTCAAAAAATGGAAACAACAAATACCAAAGAAAGAAGAGTGGCAGATGAAGATGATGGACTTTGCGGAACTGTCGAAGCTGACCGGAAAAATCTGAAACCAAGGTGATCAAACTTTCCAAAAAGACTGGAGTAAATTGATACAATACTTGAAGGACCATTGTAAGAAGTTAACAACACCAGCAGGGTTGTAAGAAGACTTGTAACGATATTTGTCACTGCCCTTTATTTATTCAAAAATTGTGATATTCTGAATGAGTGAAACGTAAAATAGAAAATGTATAAATGCTATGATATTTTAAAAACCGTGAGGCAGGAGGGAGGGAAGTCAACAGGCTCATATGAGCAAAAGAAGTAGATAATGAAGATTTGTTTAAATATTATAAAATGGAAAATTAATAAAAATATTATATATATATAAACACATGCTGCTCCACCCTCCCACCATGAATGCTTTCCGAGTGCCACCGCTTTACCTTTTTGAAAGAGGTCAGGAGCTTAATGCTGACGAAGCCCAACCTGTTCTTCTGCACGTGTTTCAGGAGGAAGGCATCCTTCGACAGGTTCTCATCAGAGAGGTAGAACTCCACCTGCGAGATGATCCTCCTGATCAGCTGCAAGTCGGGTGTGGGGCAGTGGCTGCTCTCAAACAGGTCCAGGCTGAGGAGGTCGCTCAGGTCGTAGGGGCTGCTAGCAGGAGGAGAGTGAGGTGGAGGGGAACCAGACACAGAATTACTGCCAGCAGGTCCAAAGTGTGAGCAGATTCACATTGCTTGAGTCGTAAGAGCAGAAGATACAGTGGTACCTCGGGTTACAGACGCTTCAGGTTACAGAATCCGCTAACCCAGAAATAGTACCTCGGGTTAAGAACTTTGCTTCAGGATGAGAACAGAAATTGTGCGGCGGCAGCGAAAGGCCCCATTAGCTAAAGTGGTACCTCAGGTTAAGAACAGTTTCAGATTAAGAACAGACCTCCAGAACGAATTAAGTTCTTAACACGAGGTACCACTGTACAGTACCTGGCAGATCAGACCAAAGGCCTATGTCCAGCATTTTTTTGTTGGGGGTGGTTTTGGTATTTTTATTATTATTATTTTACTTCGACAAAGTAATAATAATAAACAAACAAGAATAAAATGTGCATGCCACCCCCGAGACCATTCTATTGTAACTATCCAACCTCCCAAAATTTCAACGCCTCTTGCAATGGTTTGACCCCTTTCCGTTTTAACAGTACAAATTCTACAGACACCTTCTGTATCTCCTCAAAATCGTTTCTCCTGCGTATTCCCCGTCTTACCTTAATGGCACATGTTAATTTATCATTAATAGCTATAACCCCACACCTCTTTATACCATTCTTCCATTTTATATTCTGCTTGCCCCTTCCACTTCCTCGCTATTATAACACGTGCAGCTGTCAATAAATTTGTGAGCAAGTCCTTCACAGCCTGCAAACCTTCCACCCCATCGTAAATTGATAATAATGCTACCTCTGGACTTTCGGTCAGCTTTAACCCAGTGATTTCTGTTATTTCCTTAAACAGCCTTTGTGAGAAACATTGTACATATTTACACCCCCACCACATGTGAATATAATTCCCAGTTTCCTGGCACTATACACCACTATACAGGTCCAGCATTCTGACTGAATAGTGGTCAATCTGCTGTCTCTGTGAGGTCTGCAAAAGCCCCCACATACTAGGTGTACTAAATAGGATTAAGCCACTGAAATTCAAAGGTGCCACACTGGATATTGGTTGGGGGGGGGACGTCTGAGGAAACCCCACACCACAAAATCAATCACAAGAAGTGGCACACGCACACCATTTGAACGGCAATGACCACCAGCTTGGGGGAGGGGGCCGGCTCCCTCAAATACTTTATCGGGGGCCCCAAAGGGACCTTGGCTCCAAGGAGCTGGCTCCTATGCTCCTCAGGCTTGGTTCCCCTCAGAGGCAGGTTTAGGAGAAGGCAACCGGTTCACCCTCACTGGGCACCGGGCCGAGTGGGAGCTGCAACAACAAGGAACAACGGAAGGCGAGAGTGCGGCGGAGGGCGGGATTTTGGTATTTCACACTGCACCACTGAAATATTAAAGCCTGAAGTCCGCCACTGTTCCCCCCCACACACACACTGCACATTACATTTTTGAGATACAGCAACTAGCACTGTACACAATATTCCAAATATTGGTTGCCCTGCAAATTCTAGATGAAAAGCAACAACTCCAACTGTTGTAAGCTTTCTTGACAGTTTCATGATTGTTCTAGAGCCACCAGACCCTCTGAGCTCTTGTTTAAGAGATTTTTCTGCTTTGAGCAGGGCTTATTCCCTAGACCAGAGTTTCCCAAACTTGGGTCTCCAACTGTTTTTTCAGACTACAGCTCCCATCATGCCTAGCTTGCAATATTAATGGTCAGGGATGATGGGAATTGTAGTCCAAAACCAGCTGGAGACCTAAGTTTGGGAAACACTGGTCTACTTTGAAAGACCATCGATTTCCCCCTCAGCCTAGAGCAGGCTTTCTCAACCTTGGGTCCCAAAAGTTGGCTGGACTACAACTCTCATCATCCCTAGCTAGCAGGACCAGTAGACAGGGATGATGGGAGATGTAGTCTAACAAGCTCTGGGGCCCCAGGTTGAGAGGGCACTTCTTCTGCACACCACTGGGATCATGACAGCTAGAGCAACAGCCCGTCCACTTACTCGGACAGGGATAAGAGAGGGAGAAGTTTTCAAGGCAGCCTCAAGGAGCAGTATCTCCAGAGGAGGACCATTGAGGAAGTTGACTTGGAATGGACGCAGGGGGCGCTGTGGTCTAAACACTGAGACTCTTGGGCTTGCCAATCAGAAGGTCGGCAGTTCAAATCCCCATGACAGGGTGAGCTCCCGTTGCTCTGTCCCAGCTCCTGCCAACCTAGCAGTTCAAAAGCATGCCAGTGCAAGTAGATAAATAGGTACCACTGTGGCGGGAAGGTAAACAGGGTTTCTGTGCACTCTGGTTTCCATCCGGTTGCGCCAGAAGCGGTTTAGTCATGCTGGCCACATTACCCGGAAAGCTGTCAGTGGACAAACGCCGGCTCCCTCGGCCTGAAAGCGAGATGAGCGCCGCAACCCCATAGTCGCCTTTGACTGGACTTAACCGTCCAGGGGTCCTTTACCTTTACCTTTCTACTTACCCATCCAGAGTCTCTGCCAGCTCCTCTTGGGTCAGCAGAGGGAAAGACCTGTTGGTGCGAGGGAAGAAGTGGAGAGTGGAGTACGGGCCGCCCTGGACTGGAACCGGACTGCTGCGCTTCAGGTGGGAGGCCAAGGCCATCTCAGGATTGCACAGGGCCATCGCCCTTCATCTGTTGAGATGGAGAAGAGGGTGGGTGGGTTGGGGAGTCACACAACAGCACAGCCCTCCAACAAGACTCCCCATGCCCAGAAGATCATGGGGAGCACCTGGAAAAACAACCAAACAGGTAGAGCGTGAGACTCTTAATCTCAGGGCCCACATTGAGTCCCACATTGGCCAAAACATTCCTGCTTCATGACCCTCATGGTCCCTTCCAGCTCTGCAGTCCTATGATCAAACGCTTCCTGCAAGGCTCCCAGTGTATGCTATAGGCCAGGCATCCCCAAACTGTCAGACTGTCTCGCCAGAGTGGTGCATGCTCTAGTTATCTCCCGCTTGGACTACTGCAATGCGCTCTGTGTGGGGCTACCTTTGAAGGCGACATGGAAACTACAACTAATCCAGCATGCGGCAGCCAGACTGGTGACTGGGAGCGGCCACCGAGACCATATAACACCAGTCCTGAAAGACCTACACTGGCTCCCAGTACATTTCCAAGCACAATTCAAAGTGCTGGTGCTGACCTTGAAAGCCCTAAATGGCCTCGGTCCAGTATACCTGAAGCAGCGTCTCCACCTCCATCGTTCTGCCCGGACACTGAGGTCCAGTGCCGAGGGCCTTCTGGCAGTTCCCTCGCTGCGAGAAGCCAAGTTACAGGGAACCAGGCAGAGGGCCTTCTCGGTAGTGGCACCCGCCCTGTGGAATGCCCTCCCGCCAGATGTCAAAGAGAAAAATAACTACCAGATTTTTAGAAGACATCTGAAGGCAGCCCTGTTTAGGGAAGCTTTTAATGTTTAATAGGTTATTGTATTTTAGTGTTCTGTTGGAAGCCACCCAGAGTGGCTGAGGAAACCCAGCCAGATGGGCGGGGTATAAATTATTATTATTATTATTATTATTATTATTATTATTATTGGGACTACAATTCCCATCATCCCTGACCACTGGTCCTGTTAGCTAGAGAAGATGGGAGTTGTAGTCCCCAAACAGCTGAGTTTGGGGATGCCTGCTATAGGCGATATCAGATTCAAGCCAGTTCAACTGCTCAGCTTTAAGAAATAGCAATCAAAAAGCTACTTTCAGCCCTGGATTGGGACGCGAATTAAGGTTTTAAAGCAAACAAACTGCTATGCGTTAATATACAAATGCAGACTTTTTTAAAAAAAACACCTCTTTTTTGGGAGAAGGAGATAAAGACTAAATGGGGGGGGGTGTTTTACAGTCGTGAAGGCAGTAACTGGAAAATCTTCAGACCTTCCGCATTGAGAAACGAAAACAAACTGAGAGCACCGGCTGGAAGGCTGGGAAAATAACGTCCAGCAAAAGGAGGAATAATTGAATAATGTAGATTGAGCATTTGACTATTTTGAAGAAATAATTGTATACACAACTGACAGGCGGATAGCTGGAGGTCTTTATTTCTCTCTCTTTACTTTTATCGCCCTTGGGTGTTTATCATTATTCTTATATTATTGCTTTCTCTCACATACACACACACACACACACACTGCACACAGAGGAAGAGAACGGAGAGTTTGTACTCCTTTTGAGAGCCTGTAAGAAGAGGGGGAAGAGCCCAGGTGAGAGCTGGGAGGGTACACCTTCCTCTGTAGGGGATGAAAGTTAAGATGAGGAAGGATCTTATAGTTTCTTTTATTGTATTGTGAAAACTTGCCAAAAAAAATAGAAGCTACTTTCAGCACCTGTGCAAAGCTACAATTGTGAGTGGACTTGGAGGCCCAGGTGATAAAGCAGTGACAGTTAAGCCATTTCATTTCTCTATCTAAAGTCATCCCTTAATTGCTGTTCTGCCACTCTTTGCAACAATTTCAAGTTCCTAGTCCTTAACAGTCAAGGCCTCTCGTCTGTGCCTCTTCTTTTGCCCCCATTCATTTCCCACAGGCCCCTCAACTTGCACACCAAGCCTCCCATCCCTCACTTCCTTTTTTCATGTATAATTTTTATTAAATTTTCTGTCTTACAATTTAGAATATTCGTTTAAGCAACCTTAAAATGCCAATGACTTCCTTTCTTCTCTTTCCATGGTTCATTTTGCATATCATAAATCCCTGCATATTTTACATAAAATAAACCATTCAGTAATCCATTATTACATCCATCGAAACTTGTTTACACTGTTGAATTTATCGTAATACTACCAAGGTTTTCAAGTGTACAAAATTCCACCCCCCCATATATTCAATAAACATTTTCCTATCTTCTTTAAAAGTATGTTCTTCTTGTTCTCTTATTCTATATAACATCCCTCACTTCCCAATACTCAAGTACTGGTTGCTAGTTCCAGAAAAGGCACTCTGCATATGCCTAAAGGCACATGTTTCCATTTTACCCTTCTGCTTGTCTCCCTATCCTAACTGAATCAATCCAGGAGGTCCAGAATGAGTGTTGTCCTTAAGTCTCTTTTCAGGGTACCCTCCTGCTGCCAATTGAGAGACCATTTTTAAAGTGAAATAATAAAAAGAAACACAAACATCCCAGAGCCAATATACTCTGGTGTCTGGCAGGCCCTCTGGAATATACATTTCAACCCTAACCCACCCTTGCAGCTATAACAGTTCAAAAGAAGCTTTACCTAGATTCAAAGAACTCCTGCCAACGAGAGTCGCTCCAGGAGACCTTTGACTTCTTCGACTGTCCAGAATGGAGGTTCAGGGAAAAGGAAGGAAGGGGGGAAACAGAGACAAGGGCTACAGAGTGATGGGTGGAGAGCAAAGCCTCTGTACTGCCAGGAAGCAGGTTCTTAAGAGAGAAAGGAGCTCCATGAGGGGCAGAGGGAAAAATCAGGTGGTGGCGCTTGAAAATTAAGGCAGCAAGAGGAGGAGGAGGAATGGCCTAAACAGAGATCTGCAGGTGAAGTCAATCTCCATCATTAGGTTCAACAGTTAACAGCTGAAGCCAAGGGATGTGTGAGGAGACACATCAGTTTTCTCCTGTGCATGTTTACTCAGGGTCTCTCCAGACTGATGTGGGGTTTTTGTGGCCAGTATTTCCTGCAGCATAGCACTGATGCACTCAATAATAGTGCACAAGTCGTGAATTTATTCTGCAGTGCTTCCCTAACTGTGGCCACGTTCACAAAATTACGTTTGAAACACTCTGATACCACAATTAAACAGTCGTGGCTCCCCACACCCCAACCCGAATTTCTGAGAGAATAGGGTGCTGAACATTGTTTAGCAGCCCCTTTTCCCCTCACAGAGCTACCACTCTCTCAGAGTGGTTTCACAATCTGTCCGTCTTCACAGGGAGCTCTGGGAATTGTGGCTTTGTGAAGGGAAAAGGAATCTCCTAACAACGCTCAGCACCCTTAACAAACTACTGCTCCCAGAATTCTTTGGGGGAACCCATGGCTGTTTTAAAGCAGTATTTTTGTTGGCATCCGTCTGTCTCTAGAGTAGGCATGGCCAAACTAGGCCCTCCAGCTGTTTTGGGACTACAACTCCCATCATCCCTAGCTAACAGGACCAGTGGTCAGGGATAATGGGAATTGTAGTCCCAAATCAGCTGGAGGGCCAAGTTTGGCTGTGCCTGCTCTAGAGGCAATGGAGTGCGCCTCTGCGGGTGAAGTCAAACCACTGGAGAGTCACAGCACATGCTGTGGCTGCAGAGACCAGTAATTTGTAACTGCTGCCTCCTGTGTTGGAATCGGTTCTGCCTTCCCCAAATGCAAAGCTTGCTTTAAAGGTAAAGGGACCCCTGACCATTAGGTCCAGTCATGGCCAAGTCTGGGGTTGCGGCGCTCATCTCGCTTTATTGGCCGAGGGAGCCGGCGTACAGCTTCCGGATCATGTGGCCAGCATGACTAAGCCGATTCTGGAGAACCAGAGCAGCGACCGGAAACGCCATTTACCTTCCCGCCAGAGTGGTACCTATTTATCTACTTGCACTTTGACGTGCTTTCGAACTGCTAGGTTGGCAGGAGCAGGGACCGAGCAACGGGAGCTCACCCTGTCGCAGGGATTCGAACCGCCAACCTTCTGATTGGCATGTCCTAGGCTCTGTGGTTTAACCCACAGTGCCACCCATGTCCCCTAAGCTTGCTTTACGGTGGTGCAAAATGTGTTTAATTGGGTTGTTTCTATCCTTAGATGTGTATCACTTGCTGAAATCTGTCTGTCTCAAGAGACAATGGAGTGTGCCTCTGGGGGTGAAGTCAAACCACTGCATGAGCACCACTAAAGTGACCTACCTGGGGCGCAAGCCTGCGCAGTGTGTCTGGAGGTCCTAGGCTGCCCAGACAACAAGACTCCCTCTTGACCTTGCTGGTGTAATCCAAAGGAAAACAGAGCAATACGTTTGGCACCAGCTTGGCTGCAGGAGTTGCTGGAAGGAGGTGTGCAAGCCACCATCCAACTTCCTGAGGGAGTCGACTCTGGATTTGTATAGGGTTTACTTCAGGCTTCCTCAACCTCGGCCCTCCACTTGTTTTTTGGCCTACAACTCCCATGATCCCTAGCTAGCAGGACCAGTGGTCAGGGATGCTGGGAATTGTAGTCTCAAAACATCTGGAGGTTGAGGAAGCCTGGTTTACTTCTTAGTCTTCCCGCCCCGCAAAGATGTCCTGCAAGGCAGCAGTATGGATTCATCCCCGGGGTTTTCTCCTGAAGCCTTTTTCATGAATGGGTATGGTAAAGCTAAAGGACCCCTGGATGGTTCAGTCCAGTCAAAGCTGACTATAGGGTCGTGGCGCGCATCTCGTTTTCACGCTGAGGGAGCCAGCATTTGTCTACAGACAGCTTTCTGGGTCATGACTAAACTGCTTCTGGCACAACGGGACACCGTGGCAGAAACCAGAGTGCACGGAAACGCCATTTACCTTCCCGCCGCAGCGGTACCTATTTATCTACTTGCACTGGTGTGCTTCCAAACTGCTAGTTTGGCAGGAGCTGGGACAGGGGAACAGGAGCTTACTCCGTCACGGGAATTCGAACCGGCGACCTTCCGATCGGCAAGCCCAAGAGGCACAGTGGTTTAGACCA